TTTCCCTTCCTCATTTTCAGGTAACGAAGTTTGATGCTTGAATTACTTGGTTTCTCTTTTTGCCCAAGATTGTGAATTGATGCAAATTTTGTTGAAATTTGTCTCTTAAGTTCAAATTGTGGGATTTTGTGTGGCCTAACTGGTGACGGGTCTTCTTAGTTTATGAATTTGGACAAACATTGGCATTCCTTTGTTTGTTTGAAATTTTGTTGATTTTTGGTTTGGTCAGGCACTCTAAGCTTCATGAAAGTAAGTTTCTTGCTTATAGGCTTAAAATTAGAGCAGTTTTGCCTAAAGCAACATAAGTACTTCAATTTCCAATCAAAAGATGCCATGCAGCTTAGTGAATTAGAGAAAGGAATGGTTAGATGTTTTGGTAGGTTTTTCTAGATGAATATATGAGTACTTTGTTGGTCCCTCAGGATACCAATATTGCATTTGTAATGTAGTGATTATAAATTATAATACTATGTCATTTTCCTCCTAGGAAAGGCCTTGATCTAAAATTGATTTTTTTCAACTTGAAGGTTTATCTCTTTGGTTGGATTTGAATTCTATTATTGGAGTTGGAAGAAGAAGAGGCTCGGGCTTAGTGGTGAGGGCTGGGAAGGCTGCTCTGTGTCTAACCAAGAGAAATAGGTCCCGGAAATCTTTGGCTCGAACTCATGGCTTCCGCAGACGCATGAGAACCACTGGTGGTAGAGCAATGTTGAAGCGCCGACGTGCTAAGGGACGGAGGATCCTCTGCACGAAGACCAATCCCAACAGTGGAAAACGTGCCTGATTGTGTCTTTTTCATATTCAGTTTATCAGGTAAATGAAATGAAATGAAATGTAATGATGTCTAATAGCTGGTTCTTGTGAACATTGGCGGAATTTCAAACTTATTTCACATGATATCCCTTCAGTATTGTTTCAATCAGAAAGGCTTTTGTTTGTCCGAGCCCATTTTGCATATTAACTGTGTCCTGTTAATTTTTTTGTCTGAATTCATTCTTAGTTATGCCAATAAATGTATCAATGGAAGGCTCACTCTTAATGGGGGCTCCAAAAACCTGGTGATGGCTTGTAATGCCATATTGTTTTGTTGTTACACTTCACACGTATGTGCAGATCTTGTCACAGAGTACATTAGCTAGTACAAGATGGGGGATTTTCACAACCAATAATAGTAATTCTGCATAAATATGAAAAAGGAGAATCTGGTAGTCTTGGGTTCGGTCTACAGCTATAGGTGAAGTCGACAAGATTTTATAGTTACATGACAATAACCATATGATTCAGAAAGCCTTGTTGATGGAAAGCTTTCTGAGCAAGGCCACAAGCACCTTCTGGGGCATCCTCATGCCGAGATGCTTCTCCTGTGGCGGCAATGGCAACAGAAACTGCAGGTTGCCCGGACACAGCCTTGAGTAGGTCAATTTTGCTATTGGGAGGCACCTCTCTTCGTGACCAGAAGTTCCATCCAGACTCTGGTATGGGTAACTGTCTTCAGTGCATTGAGGTCTTCCCTGCCAAATGGGAAAAAACCAGAGAAAAAAGAGACTTGATTTGTTATTTTTTTCTATTCGGCAAAGACCAATGAGACTTTTGAGGTCGTCGGTCCTGTAATCCATCGTAATTTATGCATAATAAGACTTTGGGCAGTTTGGCGGAATGAATAGGAGTACAAGTAGTAACCCATGTTATTAGTTCTTGAGCCTCAATTTCATCAAGTAGAGGAATTATAGAGAACATTAAACCATATAGGCATTTTCACAGCCATTGATAATACATTCACTTCGATATGGATTCCATAATAGCCTATATAAATATATATAGATTATGCAGTCGGATAGCTAGCCAGCTGAGCAAGGCCACAGACACCTTCTGGGGCACCAGCATCCCTAAGAATTTTCATGTAGCCATTTTCACCCCAGCTCTCACCCCATTGATTCTTGAGTAACCAATACTTAGTGCCGTCCTCAGTCGTACCGTACCCAACGGCGGTAACAGCATGGGTCAGTTTCGTCCCACAATCTGTGGGCGAGAAGACCCCACTTTGGTAATTCATAAACTCCGCCCCGGAACCATCGATGGCTATTGAGACTGGCTGCCTGGACACAGCCTTGAGTAGGTCTTCTTCACTATTTTCAGGCACCTTTTCATAACCAGTGATCTGGACAGCAGGCTGATTAGCGTTACATGTTCCCTCCACAGCCTGGTACGGGTAGTTTTCTTCGCTGGCAATTCCTCCGTTTTGTTGGATGTATTGAAAGGAACTAGTCATGAAACCACCATCGCAGCCTTTGTTGCCATAGCTGCTGGTACAGTCCAGAAGTTGTTGCTCGGACAGTGAGATCAGTTCCCCAGTTTGGATTTGGTTAATCCCTTCCACTGCTGCCACTGCAGAAAATGCCCAGCAACAGCCTACATATATAATACAAAAACAAAAACATCAATACTTAGTAAAGAATATGGATGAGTTAAGAAGGTAATTAATATAAGGAAGGTGGATCTCTTAATTACC